TTTTGTTATTTAAAATATATATTTTAAATATTCAAGTTGTACATTTTATACAGAGGTTGGTCGTATTTAAAATAGTATTATTTAAAATATATATTTTAAATAATGTTATTTTAAATACGACCGACCCCTGTATAAAATGTACCACTTGAATACATTTAAATATGGAATTATCTTTTAGGAGAGGCAAAGATATGTTAATTTATAATTTTGTGTCGTCGGTCGATGGGCCTACTTGGAATGAATATTTCTTCGGACTAGTCGACATAAATAAAACATTCCCGTTCCGTAGTGCCGTTTATTTGCCATTAGTGACTCTCGTTAAATATAATATACTATGCAGAATTTGTGTTTGGTTCGGTCACTTTCTTCCTGCTTTACTTGTGGATGCTGCAAACATCTGTATTGGACGTAGCCCAAGGTATCACGTAAATATAAATGCTATTTCTTTTATTTGATGCATATAACTAATAGTTTGTTTGAACCAAATAAAATTATATTAATGATACGAAAAATTATAATAACTTTATATGTATTTCAGAATGTGGAAATTATGTATGGCAATCGACAAATTTTCCCGAGTAATCCAACCTTTTTGTACTTCTGTAGAGTGGAGTTATTCCACTGACAATGTTCAAGCAATGTGGAATCATCTCAATGAGAAAGATCAACAATTGTTTAAATTTAGCATGATGGGATTTGACTGGTCAAAATATTTAATTGACTGTCATGAGGGCATACGCCACTATCTGGTAAAAGAAGATGACAGTATGTTGGAAAGCGGTCATATCAAATATAGAAGGTAACAGATCTTGCGTATTGTTAGTTTTCAGTCAATCTTTTTAGCTTAAGTTTTATTTCTATATAGCCAAAATTCATGGCCGAAATTTATAGCCAAAATCTTTAATTTTAGATTTTACTGGATACATCAAATCGACAAAGTTATATTTCTATTTATTGCCTTTTGGATCATTTGGTGTATGTTAACTGTTTGCATAAATTATTCACTATAATTATTTGAATAATTTTTACATTTAAATGCGATATTTATATAACAAATATATTCAGCAATGGTTTTATTATTTACACACATTTTATTATACTAAAAGATGGATGGATAAGGCCAACTATTAAAGTGTATGAAAGGATAGATAATTTGAGGAGGATAGAGGATTGAGAAGAGAGGCGAGAGAGAGAGAGAGAGA